CACTGCCATCAACTGGTGACGTCTACTCTGGTCAGACAGATATTAGACAGCAGTGCTGTGTCTTTGCCCTTTCTACCATCTTAAAGCAATAGGAAGAGCTGGGTTCTCTCCTCTGAGGTCGAGAGGCCTGGGTGGGGCTGCAGCTCAGCCACAGTGTATTCTGTGACTCTGGCCAAGCCCACTGACCTCCCTATGACTCAGTTTTCTCCTCTGTAAAATAGGTGATTACTAACACCTCAGAGGCTGCCTGGGAGCTTCAAGGAGATAATGCATTCATTATTTTCACCGTAAATGCCTGGGGAAATACTGATGAGAGAATGGGGAAATAGAGATGGGGTTGTGGGGGGCTCTGTGTGGGGAGGAGGATCGCAGGGAGTCAGCCCCAGCTGAACACCATTTCCTCCTCCTGCTGCTGCCCTCCCGGGCCTCTACACTATCTCAGCTGTCGTAAACGGTCCCAACACTGGGCGGAGGGCAGCCTAGCCAAGAGACTCACCGGAGATGAGAGTGAAGGTGACAGAGTAGATGCCACCACCTCCACTGCCGTCCCGTCTCGGGGAGGGCTCTGGACCCTCAGAGGAGCTGATGTCCACTTGGAAGCGGACAGGCTTCTGGAAGACGGAGGGGCCGCCACTGGCCTTGTACTCGGCCCTGAAGCTGGTCTGTGACAGCACACTGTGACTCAGGCTGGGGATCTGAGCGAGGTGAGAACACAGGAAGAGGTGAGCTCCGGGAATGGATACCCAGCCCCACAACCAGCTCTGGCTGAGGAACTACAAATCTCATGAGCCACTGGAGGGAAAGACGGACAGAAAACGCACTGGGAGACCCCTTTGCCTGCAAGGACTTGTAGCTTTCTCTGTCCTATCAGCGATTAATGGAGGAATGGTCAGACGACTCAATCCTAACGTGGCTCTGATGTCTGGGTGACAGCCTCAGCCTCCAAGACCACGTGAAACACTGCTTGCTCGTTTTACAAATGCTGCGCATAGCCGTATCTGTTACAGAAAGTCTAAGTCCCATTGGCCCCCGAGCAAAACACCAAAGACCAGCAATGGGGCAGCCTTAAAATTGGCTGGGAAGTTTCTTCTGCTAATTTAAAACCTCGCAGTAGGGGAATGGGAACTCACCCATCCTCAGGGACACTATTATCTGGTATATTGCAATTCAGGATCCTATCTCACCACTTCCAGGCCTCTGGCCACAATAAATCTTTCCTGCCTACTGACCTCTACCCAACTCTGGCCATGAAACGAAATCTCATGAGACCCAGGAGGACGCCAGGCCTGTGCTGAAGTGGTTAGCCCCAGAGGCTGCTGGGACTTGCAGTTTTGTGGTGGCCATGATCGACAGGGACCCAGGCCCCTCACCGACAGAAAGGCATGGACAATGTCTGCTTTGATGCTGCTAAGGGGTTTGTCCTTTAGCACGAGGAATATCTGTTCTTCTTTGTCCAGGGAGATGAAGTTCCCAAACCAGGAGCGTTTTGCCAGCCTAAGTGGGAGGGATGGTTGGAGGAGGGTTAGGAGGGCGCCAAGGGCACCCCCTCCATCCCCACTTTTTCCTTCCCTGTTAGACTTACTCTGGGGAGGACTCTGGTGTCAAGCTGGACATCTCCTCAGCGGTAGGGACTGGTAGGGGGAAGGCAGAGAACGTGGTCAATACCTGTCCATCGTCGCAGTGGCCAGCACACAGGTCTACACTGGCCTCCTCCCAGGGCTTCCAGAGCCTGGGTGCAGCCGTGGCCAAGCCATGCCCCCTGGTCGGGGCTCACAAACCACAGGCCAACGGGAGGTGATCCGGAGCCCCGGGGGGCGTGCCTTTCAGTGTCCTACTCCAGAGCTAGAGGCCCCACCTCTCTCCCCAACAGGGGCACGTCTGCTCCAAACCCCCTCTTCTCCAGAACGGGGGAATCCAGGTCCCCAGTTCCTTCCTCTCTATACACACTAAAGGGACATCCCTGGGACCAGATTTTCAGTCCCTAGCCCACTCCCCACATTACGACTCAGCAGTTCGTGCCCCCATACCCTGCATCTTGCGCCGGTGAAAGCGAGGGGAGCCCAGGAAGCTGTTTCGGATGGAGTTGAGACGACTCCTCCAGGCGGCTCCCCCGACGCCACCGCCGGGGCTGGGGGGTGGTGTTGTCCCCGGGGTCCCGGTGGGACTGGCCCGGGGCGTGTGCAGAGGTGAGTGCAAGGGGGTCCCGCCGGAGGAGCGTGGGGAGCCTGGGGGACCGGGCAGGGGTGTGGAGCGGGCGCTGGGGGGCGGGGGCTGCTCCCCGGCGCCCCCACCCCTGGGGCCCCGAGAAGGCAGCGTCTGCGTTTTGGAAGTCGGGGAGCCCCCACCTCGGGCCTCATCTCCAGCCCCGGGCTCCGGTGAGAAGGAAAAGACCGGACTCTGCAAAGAAGTGGAGACCTTGATGAGCGGGCGGACTACAACTCCCAGGAGTTTCTAGGAGCCCCACTCGCGCACACTCACGGAGGCTGGCCCGTTGCATACTGGAACTTGTAGTCCAATTACCCTCTTTCCCAGGCCCCAGTGAAGGATGGCAAAGACTTTCTATCATGTTTCTTGGCTGAAAACCCAGCCCGTGCGGAGGCTAGTACACAGCAGGCACTCAACTAACTTTTGTAAAATCAGTTAATGAACCCTTCAGGCACGCAATCCTAAGGAGGTAGAAATAAATGGCCAATGGACCAAAATACTTTGGAGGCCTTGGGTCTTTGGCCTTCCAGGGACAAGGAAGCAAGTCTCAAGGCTGCATAGGAATTGTTTCTGCTACTCAATCTTTGCTCCATGTCTCCCCGCTTTCCCCTTCTTCAATCCCACTGGGGACCTGGCCTTACCCTTGGGCTGCTTAGAGGGCTGGAGGACAGACCCGTGGAGGCTCCACTGACGCTACGGGATCTGTTTCCAGGATAGATTAAAAAAAAAAAAAAAAAAAAATCAGATGGGAGGATTTCAGAAACCACAGATGTTTCCTCACTTCTACAGTCTTTCCAGGTGAGGAAATGAGGCCCAGAGAGGGGAGGTGAATTGTCCCAAGGACACAGCATATTTGAAGTAGAACGGGGGTTAGATTCTTGAACTCCTAGACCCAGGGACTGGGGATCCTCCTAGAGGGACAGGGGCTCCCACCTCTGGCTGTGCTGGGCCATCTCCAAGGCCCGTCGGGTGGGTACAGGGGAGCCACCACCCCCAGCATCCGTGATGCTCAGGACTTCCATGGACTTCCGCTCTGGACGCCGCTTCCCGTGACGACTCAGCATGGGGGAATCCACACGTTTTCTGGGTGGGTCTGAGGGAGGACAATTTCAACCCAATCAAGAAATGGTTTCACCTAGCTGTGCACACTGTGCACACTGCCTTAGAAACTGTACAGAGGGGAAACAGCCCTAGAGTGGAGAGGGGTTTCGATAAATGTCAAAGAGCAAGTCAAGCACTCTAAACCTGGAAGCTCGGAGCCTGCAGCCCCTTCTTCCCTTGGGAATCTGGGGTCTGGGCGCTCAGCCTCTTTCCTTCTTGAGACCAGGTGACTGCCCCCCCACCCCAGCCCTGCTTTCTTCTCACCAACATCATTCCGGGGAGGCAGGTCCTGGTCCTCACAGCTGGGATACCGCTCCTTCCGATCCAAAAGCAGGTAATATATCATCTTTTCTTGATTCTCCCTAAGACAGGGGGTGGGAAAGGTGGAAGGAGGTAAAAGAGGGCTGAGGTCAGAAATCAGTGCCCAGAGGAGGTCTCCTCCGTTCCAGTATTTCTGCGCACGGTTCCACTTTTCTAGGTTATCAGTATGGTCAGTTTCCTCTGCTTTAGGGTACATCTCAGCCGTGTTTTACTCAATTGTGTTAACACTGTAACATCTAATATCCGGACACGTACTATTTGTAAGTAGTATTTAAGGAACTGTCTATGTCTCTCGCAGCATCTATTAACACATTCTCAGCGCGTTTCTGGGCCGTTTTCCCCGCGGGTTCCATCACTCCCAGGCGGGAGCTTCAAACCACGCCCCATGGAGAGGCCAGGGTGCCAAGCCCGGAGCTCTGCGTGCCCGCAGGGAGCTGGCGCACCTCGCCCCACGTGGGTACACGGGTGCAGGGGTCTTGGGGTCTTACTCCTCACTGCGCAGCTCGCGATGCAGCCTCTCGCGGTCCCTGAAGCAGCCCAGTGACGCCATGCTCTCTAGGACGTCGGGGTCCAGCTCTCCATTGGATGGCAGGCTCCGCATGGCTACCCGGCGGCCTGGGGCTGGCTCCAGGCACGGGTCTGGCTCGTGTTTGCCGCCTCTGGGGAAGTGGAGAAACATCATTGGGAACCAGGCTTCCGAGATTCAGCATTCTTTATCTTAGACTCAAGCATCCTGGAGAACAGCCTTCAGGCTTAGAAATCCGAGTCCAGGCGCCAGCCCTTCTCTTTCATACCCAGGAATCCAGACCCCCAGACACTGCCTCCCATCTCAGATCAGAGTCCAGACCCTCAGCCCCTCCTTCTTCCGACCCAGAAGTCTGGCCCCCAGCCCCTTCCTCCGGGAGATCTGGACTCCTAGCTTAACCCCTCCTCTCTCTGACCCCTAGACTCCTTCTCCAGCTGTGTGCTCTTCCCCCAGGACCCATAAGTCCGAGTCCCTAGCCCCTTGCCACTCAGGAACCCTGGCATCCCACTCCCGCAGCTGCCTCTACTGCTCTGGTCCCCACACCTGCTTCCGCCAGGGACCCAAGAGTCCAGTCACCCCATACTCACAGGTACCAAGGATGTTTCTGAATTTGCTCCAGCTGTGAGGGTGGTGAGTCGTAGAGAAGCAGAAGTGAGGTCGTATGCATATGCAGGCGCGCAATGAAAGTTGACTCGGGTGGTTTCGGGGTCCCTGATCATCTCTCCGGCTCACCCCAGCAGGGGCAGGATGACGTCTCACGTCGCCCTCTAGTGGCGACTGAGCGCATCGCCCTCCGCACGCGCCGTGTCTACCCAGGACCCGCCGCATTCCTCTGCCGCATGCGCAGTGGCAGCCGGTTAGTCTCCACGCGCATGCGCCCTCCCGCTGGGGCGCCCGCTTCACTCTGGCGTAGACCCCTCCCCAGTTTGGAGCGGCAGCTTTGTTGGACCTTGGGTTGCGGCTCAGCTGGAGACCCCAGTCACCCCTAGGACTGACGGGTAGGTTCTGAAAACCCATCCCCGTGACTTTTGTGGGGCTTCTGTCGCCATCGCCTACTGTTCTCCCCTCCGCCGGTCCCCCCAACTCACACTGAGCCTTTTTTCGGGTTCCACTTCGATCATGCCCCTCAGGAGGCTCTGGCAGTCTGGAGGAATGAAGTGGGGCATGTGGAAGACGCCCCGTTTCACCTTCTCCAGCAGCTGGCGGAGGTTGTCGTCGTCAAAGGGCAGAGCCCCCTAGGCACGAGATAACAAGGACCCCCATTAGCACATTTCACCCTCACCACGAGCACTGGAGGTGGGGAACTTCGGTGATCTCCACCTTAGTGGCAGGGAAACTGAGGCACAGAGAGGCTGAGCAGTTTGCCCAAGGCCCCTAGCTCGTCCTTGGCAGAGCAGGCTGGAGCCCCGCTTACGAGGCTAGAATTGCAGGGTGGAGGCTGTCTTTTAGACGGCTTTCCCCCTACTGCAGTTTTCCAAGGGTTGTCACTCATTCACTCATTCAACAAAAGGTGAGCATCCGTTACGGGTCAAGGATCCAGCAGTGAACAAAACAGGCCTCTGCCCTTGCACAGCTCCAAACAAATAGCTATACAATGACAGCCACTGAGCGAGGCTTATCCCAGAAGGTAAAACGGGAGCAGAGACCTGAATGCAGCTGAGCCCTAAATCAATGACTGGTGTCCTTATAAGAGGTGAGGAGGGTGCAGAGACACAGAGAGAACAGTCATGTGATGATGGACTGTTCTCTCCCGGCCCCTCAATTTTGTATTTTTGTAGAGGCAGAGATGGGGGTGACGCAGCTGCCACTGAAGGAACACCAAGGACACCAGACGCTGGGAGAGGCAAGGACCTAGAACATTCTTCCTAGGCATCCTTTCTAGGCATCCTTCCCCAGAACCTCCAGAGGAAGCAGGGCCCTGCTGATACTTTCCTTCTTTTTTGTTTTTGTTTTCGTTTTTTGAGACGGAGTTTCACTCTTGTTATGCAGGCTGGAGTGCAATGGCGCGATCTCGGCTCACCGCAACCTCCGCCTCCTGGGTTCAGGCAATTCTCCTGCCTCAGCCTCCTGAGTAGCTGGGATTACAGGCACACACCACCATGCCCGGCTAATTTTTGTATTTGTAGTAGAGACCGGGTTTTACCATGTTGGCCAGGGTGGTCTCAAACTCCTGACCTCGTGATCTGCCCGCCTTGGCCTCCCAAAGTGCTGGGATTACAGGCATGAGCCACTGCACCCAGCCTAATTTTTGTATTTTTAGCAAAGACCGGGTTTTGCCATGTTGGCCAGGCTGGTCTTGAACACCCTGCGTCAAATTATCCACCTGCCTTGGCCTCCCAAGTGCTGGGATTACAGGCATGAGCCAGTGTGCCTGGCCCCTTGCCTTGCTTTGAACCCTTACTCTGGGGCTTATACCAGCATGACCTTAGGCAAGTCACTGCTTGGCAATGGGTCGTCACAGCACCCACCTCACAGACTGCATCAGAATGACCTGACCTAATACATTACAGTGCTGGGCCCACAGTTAGGGCTGTTACACACTGGCTATGTGATGCATTTGTAGCCAGTGTGTAATTGATCACACCCCTACTGCATCCTGCATTCTGATATAGCCACTAGCAATGAAGCAGGGAGCAAAATCACATCCCCGCCTGCCTGAAGCTTGGCCTAGGACGCTGCCTGACACACACTTGATGCTCAGTAAGCAAAAATGGAATGAGCAGAGAAGTTGCATTCCAGAGGGGACAGGTAACGAACAAATGAACATAGCATATGAGATTGAGAGAATGCTTCCAATCAGCAGGGCAAAGGTTGGAGGGGGAGGCAGAGTGACCAACCATGGAGGAGTAGGCATTGGAGAGACTCATGGGAGGTGATGTTGTGAGCCTTTGAGGGCTTTTCTGTGTGTGGCAAGCTCCTGGTGGCCCCTGGTATCTGAGGCCTGTGGACGGAGAATAGGGAGATACAGAGAAGGCACCTCGGAATGCTGATCTTGGAGTACAGAACGCTGGGCTTGACTTCTGGTTGCCTGATGCTCTAGCATGGAACCTCAGTTTCCTTTTCTCTGTTAAATGGACATAATGATCCTCCCAGGAAGGGTATGCTATGGATTAAACATTACAACAACGGGCTGCCAGCGGTGACTCACACCTGTAATCCCAGCACTTTGGGAGGCGAAGTGGGAAGGATCACTTGAAATGAGGAGTTTGAGACCAGCCTGGCCAACATGGAGAAACCCTGTCACTACTAAAAATACAAAAATTAGCCAGGCATGATCGCGGTCACTTGTAATCCCAGCTACTTGGGAGACTGAGGCAGAATTGCTTGAACCTGGGAGGTGGAGGTTGCAGTGAGCAGAGATTATGCCACTGTACTCCAGCCTGGGTGACAGAGCAACACTCCATTTCAAAAAATAAATTATAAAAACAACAACAACAACACAGTTGCTTCTTGTTATTCTCGAGAGTTCTGTTCTATAAAGCCGCCGCAAACTCTCGACTAGTGAACGTTGTTAGTCATGGCTACTGAAGGAAATATAGTTAGGTTCCTTTAACCCTCTGGTCACATTTTTGTCAACCAGTCATTACATAACCTTGTTTGTACGTGTTTCCGTTTAAAGACGCCTTTCCCATATACTGTGTCATTGACACTGAACTCACGGCCAGCTGCGCTACAAGCAGGGGTTTTCTCCATAAGGGACGTCACAGCCTCCTGCGCTCAGAAATGCTAGATGGCACTTCAGAAGCATTTGGCTTCCTGGTCATTTTTAAACAGCGAAATCGGCTGGGCGCGGTGGCTCAAGCCTGTAATCCCAGCACTTTGGGAGGCCGAGGCGGGTGGATCATGAGGTCAAGAGAGCGAGACCATCTTGGTCAACATGGTGAAACCCCGTCTCTACTAAAAATACAAAAAATTAGCTGGGCATGGTGGCGCGTGCCTGTAGTCCCAGCTACTCAGGAGGCTGAGGCAGGAGAATTGCCTGAACCCAGGAGGCAGAGGTTGCGGTGAGCCGAGATCGCGCCATTGCACTCCAGCCTGGGTAACAAGAGCGAAACTCCGTCTCAAAAAATAAATAAATACATACATACATACATACATACATAAATGCAGATGACCCCCAGTGAGGATGGAATGTACTGTCCTGTGCTCCCAGCAGGTGGGATTGGTCTAGAAATGGCAGGACAGGTGAGGGCACCTTACCACAAGCAGGGCGAAGAGGATGACTCCACAGCTCCACATGTCTGCCCGGCGCCCGTCATACTTCTCGCCCTGGAAGGGAAGGCCAGTTGGGACTCCACCGCCCTCACTGCCACCGCCACCCCTCTCCCCTCCACCCACCCCTCACTCACCTTAATCACCTCTGGACACGCATAATGGGGGGACCTGAGGGAGAGAGCTGATGTGAGCCTCCAGCCGGCTTCTACACCCCTGCCCAGGGGCTTGGGAGCCGGGCTCCCACTCACCCGCAGCTGGTCTCCAGGAGGCTGTCCCCCACCTGCAGGGATGCCATGCCGAAGTCTGCAATGCGGATGTTGTTTTTCTCATCCAAAAGCAGGTTCTCGGGCTTTAGGTCTCTGTGGCTGAGACAGCCAGGTGGGGCTCAGGCCTCTTCCTTCCTTCCAGGAGGCTCAGGCCCCACTCACTGGCTCTCACAGTGGAACACTTCTGCATACTTTTTGATTTTTCAGAGGGTGAGAGACCATTAATTATCATTCATTTATTTTGGTCTGTTTTTAAATTTTCTTTTTAATTTAATTTATTTTATTTTTGAGATGGAGTCTCGCTCTGTTGCTCAGGCTGGTGTGTAAACACCATCTCAGCTCACTGCAGCCTCTGCCTCCTGGATTCAAGTGATTCTTCTGCCTCAGTCTCTGGAGTAGCCACCACATCTGGCCTTATTTATTTTGAAATGGGGTCTCACACTCTCGCCCAGGTTGGAGTGTAGTGGCATGATTTCGGCTCACTGCAACCTCCGCCTCCCGGGTTCAAGTGCTTCTCTTGCCTCAGCCTCCCAAGTAGCTAGGATTGCAGACATGCGCCACCACACCTGGCTAATTTTTGTATTTTTAGTAGAGACGGGGTTTTTACCATGTTGGCCAGGCTGCTCTCAAACTCCTGACCTCGGGTGATCTGCCTGCCTCAGCCTCCCAAAGTTCTGGGATTACAGGCGTGAGCCACCGCTCCCAGCCTTTTTAATTTTTTAATTTTAGAAATGGGCATCACTTCTCCGCCTTTTGGCTAAGATCAACTGTATTTTTAGAGGTGGGGTCCCACTCTGTTGCCCAGCCAGGAGTGCAGTGGCACAATCATAGCTCCCTGCAGCCACGACCTCCCTGGCACAAGTGATCCTCTGGCCCCAGCCTCCTGAGAAGCCGCTACCACAGGTGTGCGTCATCACATCTGGCTTTGGAAACGTTTTGTAACAGACAATCACAGACGTGCCCAAAACTGGAGAGAAAGTATGAGGAAGTCTGACTTACCCACCTCCCAGCGTCATCCATTATCAACTTAGGTCCAGTCTTATCTCATTTCTGTTCCTTACGTACTCCCCCCCGCCCCCTGCTGCCCACATTTATTTATAGGACATCTTGGACGTCATATTCGTTTATCCATAAGTATTTGAATATGTACAAAGCAAGATATTTTGAGGTAAAGCTGATACGAAGCTGGTTCTTAAAATCCTTGGTCCCTCTCTTCAGACCTTCCCACCGCTGAACCAAACTCCTCAGGATTTAAGGGTTGATGTCTGGGGCAAGAGGGAGTGTAGGATTCTGCAGTTTCCATTTGCCTGGCCATTAACTGGGTCGTACTTGTTAAATATGTTGACTATCTTCCCCTAGAGGCCAGGGTTTTAATATCAGGGTTTTGACAATCTTGTCAATAGGAAGGTGTCAAAATTTAAACAGGGCTATGTGCTGTGGCTCACGCCTGTCATCCCAGCACCTCAAGAGGCAGAACAGGCGAATTACTTGTGGTCAGGAGTTTGAGACCAGCCTGGCCAACATGGTGAAACCCCGTCTCTACTAAAAATACAACAGTTAGCTGGGCATGATGGTGGGCACCTGTAATCCCAGCTATTTGGGAGGCTGAAACAGGAGAATCGCTTGAATCCAGGAGATGAAGGTTGCAGTGAACCAAGATTGTGCCATTGCACTCCAGCCTGGGTGACAGTGAAACTCTGTCTCAAAAAATGTTTTTTAAAAACCCCAAAACTGAAAATTTAAATAGGCAGCCTTTTTATCAGCAGCCTTTACCTCAGGTCTGAGCCCCTTCACCCTGATCCTCACCCCATTTCCGAAACACATCTTAGTGGGAGAGATATGCAGATAAAGGAGGCTAAAAGATGAAAGCATTCATTTTGTACCTTATCAGTTATAAAAATGTTGTATATTTAGGTTTTTTTTGAGACAGAGTCTTACTCGGTCACTCAGGCTGGAGTGCAGTGGCAGGATCTGGGCTCACTGTAACCTCTGCCTCCTGGGTTCAAACAATTCTACCGCCTCAGCCTCCCGAGTAGCTGGGACTGCAGGCGCGTGCCAGTACATTCGGCTAATTTTCGTATTTTTAGTAGAGATGAGGTTTCACTATGTTGGCCAGGCTGGACTTGAACTCCTAACCTCATCATCTACCAGCCTCGGCCTCCCAAAGGGCTGGGATTACAGGTGTGAGCCACTGAGTCCAGCCCAGAATAAATAAGTTTTAGGAGTTATTCCTAGAGTTATCTTTTCTTTCTAGAATAAAAAAGTGTTACAAAGCAATAATAAAAATACTAAATCAAATTTAAAAAAATAACTGAATTAAAAATGGGCAAAGAGGCAGGGCGCGGTGGCTCACACCTGTAATCCTAACACTTTGGGAGGCTGAGGTGGGCAGATCACCTGAAGTTGGGAGTTCAAGACCAGCCTGGGCAACGTGGTGAAACCCCGTCTCTACTGAAAATACAAAAATTAACCAGGCTTGGTGGCACATGCCTGTAATCCCAGCTACTCGGGAGGCTGAGGCAGGAGAATCAATTGAACCTGGGAAGCGGAGGTGGCAGTGAGTTGAGATCGCGCCATTGCACTCCAGCCTGGGCAACAGAGCAAGACTCTGTCTCAAAAAAAAAAGGCGAGGGGCCAAAGAATCTGAATGAATATTTCTCCAAATCTATACGTGACCAATAAACACATAAAAAGATGCCCAACATAGGAAATCCTTAGAGAAATGCAAAGCAAAACCCCAATCAGATGCTACTTCACATCCACTAAGATTGCTCTAATCAAAGAGATATAATAACAGGTTTTGATGAGGGTGGGCAGAGATTAGAACAATCAAATCGTGAAGCACTTTGGAAAACAGGCTGGCAGTCCCTCAAAAGGCTAAATAGAGACTGCCACATGACCCAGCAATTCCACTCCTAGGTATGTGCCCAAGAGAACTGAAAACGTAGGTATGCATGAAAACTTGTACATGAGTGTTCATATCTATGTTATTCATGATCAAGAAGAGAAAAGAACCAAACTGGCCATCAACAGATGAACGGATAAACAAATGTGGCCTATCCATACAATGGAATATTATTCAGCCATGAAAAGGAATGAAAGTATTGGTAAGTGCTATAATACGCATGAAAACAGAAGACACTTTGCTAAGTTACAGAAGCCAGTCACAAGGGGCCATGTATCAACCTGGCGTGGTGGCTCACACCTGTAATCCCAGCTCTTTGGGAGGCTAAGGTGGGCAGATCACCTGAGGTCAGGAGTTCAAGACCAGCCTGGCCAACATGGTGAAATCCCATCTCTACTAAAAAAATACAAAATTAGCTAGGTGCAGTGGCGTGCACCTGTAATCCCAGCTACTTGGGAGGCTGAGACAGGACAATCAATTGAACTTGGGAGGTGGAGGTTGCAGTGAGCCAAGATCATGCCACTGCACTCCTGCTGGCTGACAAGAGCAAAACTCTGTCTCAAAAACAAAACAAAACAAGACAAAAAGGGCCATGTATGGTATGATTTCATTTATATGAAGTGTCTGGAATAGGTAAATCCATACAGACAGAAAGTAGGTTGCCAAGGCCTGGAGGCAGGAGGAAAATGGGGAGTGACTGCTCACTTAATGCATGCAGGGTGATGAAAATGTTCTAAAATGTTCTAAAATTCTAAAAGTCCATAGTAGCAGATGTAGACCATTGCAAATATATCACAAACCACTTTAAAAGGAGGAATTTTATGGTGCGTGGGTTATGTCTCAATGGGATAAATGATTTGGGGGCTGACCACATGGCTTTTGCTCAGACTTCCACATACCCCCAAGGGCATGTCCCCTGGGCAGCCCCCAGCCCCGCCTCGCCCTCAAGCTGCCCGCTCACCAGATGGAGTAGCTGTGGCAGAAGTCCAGTGCAGACACGATCTGGCGGAAGAACTTCCGGGCCTCCTTGGGCGTCAGTCTCCCCTTCTTTACCAGGTAGTCGAATAGCTCACCCCCTGAGACGTGCTCCAGAACCAGGTACCTGAAAGATATAGAGGGGGCAGAGGGCTGGAAGGGGCATGTGGATGACCAAAGGGCCTGGCCTCCCTCTTCCATTGGCCTCTGGAGGCAGAGAACTCCAATTCCCGTTATCCTTGGGAGGAAGAGACTCCAATTCCCATGGGTCCCTGGGAGAAAGAGACTCCAATTCCCATCACTCTCTGGGAGGAAGTGACTCCAGTTTCCACCAGCCTCTAGGAAACCAAACTCAAGTCCCATTAGCCCTGGGCAGCAGAGCCTCCCATGCCCACTTTGGAGGGGAATCAACACTCTGACTCCTAATGGTTTCAGGAGATAAGGCAACTCTATTAGCGCCTGAAAGACAAAGACCCCAATTCATATAGGAGCCTGGGAAGTAAAGATACCCCTACTCCTATTAGCCCCTAGGAAGCCAAGCCTCTCCCTTTGGGATAAAGAAACTCAAATTTGAATTAATTTCGGGCATTAATGATTGCAAGGTGCACCAGTCCAAGCTACCTTCTGTGAGGCAACAGATGGCAACTCCCATCAGTGCCTAGAAGTTAAAAACTCCCACTTCCCATAAGCCTCTGGGACACAGGGGATCCCAGTTTCCATCAACCATTTGTGTTTGTTGTTGTTGTTGTTGCTGTTGGGACAGAGTCTTGCTCTGTTATGCTGGAATGCAGTGGCATGATCTCAGCTGACTGCAGCCTCTGCCTCCCAGGTTCAAGCAATTCTCCCACCTCAGCCTCCCAAGAATCTGAGACTACAGGTGTATGCCACCACACTCAGTTAATTTTTGTATTTTTAGTAGAGACAGGGTTTTGCCATGTTGGCCAGGCTGGTCTTGAACTCCCAACTTAAGTGATCCACCCGTCTTGGCCTCCCAAAGTGCTGGGATTACAGGCGTGAGCCACCAGCGCCCAGCCTCCATCAACCACTTGGATTCTAGACTCCAAATCCCGTCAGGCTCTGGGAGGTTAATGCTAATTCCCATCAGCTTCTGGGAAACAAAACTCAGTTTCCTTTTTTTTTGAGATAGGGTCTCACTCCGCGCTGGAGTACAGCAGCACAAAAACAGCTCACTCCAGCCTCAACCTACCAGGATCAGGCAATCCTCCCACCCCAGCTCCCCAGGTAGCAGGGGCTACAGGTGCGCACCACCACGCCTCGCTGATTTTTGTATTTTTTTGTAGAGACAGGGTTTTGGCATGTTGCCCAGGCTGGTCTTGAACTCTTCAAGCAATCCGCCCACCCAAAGTGCTGGATTACAGATGTGAGCCACTGTGCCTGGCCCCAAGCGGTCAATTTCTATGAGCTCTTAGATGGCTGAGATTCCTGCCCAAAGCTTGAACTCCCATGGCCCTGCCTCCCTATGCCAAGGGTGGAGTGGGGGCGACAGTGCCCTGGTTTGGACAATACTCCACCCTACCACCACACGTGGGAAAGCCTGAAAGCAAGTCTCATGAGCATCAGGGAAGGCAGCTTCCTGTGTGTAAAACCTGCCTCAGCATGGATGGACCTGATGTCAGTTCATCCTGGGCACTGGGTGCAGGAGGTGGGGGGGCTGTCCCCTCTCCCGCCACCCAGCCCAGCTGTCCTTTGGGTCACCAGAGTTTGGACAAAGAGGCCCATTCTCTGGAGCTTGGACAGCTGGGCCCCCACCCCCATCCTTCCTGGTGGGTGACTGACTTTGAGAAACTGACTCAGAACTCCTAAGGCGGCCCATTGTTGGGGTGTCCAGCCATAGGACCCGAAGTTATGCCGAGGAGGAGGGGGACTCTCCAGTGCTCCAGAGTGGGGGTTTGGGAAGATCCTTTGGGCTTTGCTAGGCCCCTTGCCTTACAAACAGGGGCATCTGCCCATGGTAAATTGGGTCTGGTCTCAAGCACCCTGCTTATCTAGCAGAGGGCATTCCCTGCAGTACAGCAGGGTGAGGAGCTGGAGCTCACCCGCCCTGTCTTTAGCCTCGGGCCCAACACAGTGTGGGAACGGTGGGGTTCCCAGTGTGTCGGGGATTCCCCTGTGCAACAGGCAAGGGACTGGGCCTCCAGTGGTCCAGCCTGGAGAGCTCCAGGTTCCCCAGGCCCGCCTGGGCCCTGTTTCTGAAGTCCCACCATCTAACTTGGGGAGGGAGGTTGGGGCAGGGCTGGGTGTCTATAAATACCTACAAATATTTCTTGTTCTCGTAGACGTCGTGGAGCTTGAGGACGTGCGGGTGTTCGATGAGCTTCAGGATGGCAATCTCCCGCTCCACCTGAGGGCCAAGAGGGGCGGGGACACGGGAACAGAGGTCAGCACGGCCCCCTCCCTGCCCTCAGCCCAGAGGCCTCCCCCGCAGACACACGGAGTCACACACTTTAAAACACTGAGGGGCACGGGGAGCAGCGGGCACACACACCTTCATCAGCACCGACTCTGACAGCTTCTCCCGGTTCACAATCTTGATGGCGACCTTCTGACCCGTGATGCAGTGCACCCCGAGTTTAACCAGCCCTGGGGAAGCAGAAATTGTGGGGTATTCTGCCAGGTCCCCTTCCCCCTCAGCGCCTGTGTCCCCTCCTGGCCACCCTGTTCACTCCTTCCCTGGCTGGCCGCTTCACGGTGGCCCAAACGCATCAGACCTGAGCTCCTGGGGCTGACAGCCCACACTCCCACAAAGCCACCCCTTCCCCCTTCCTCCTTCCCTGCCGCCACTTCCGCTCTTCCTGACTGCCCATTGCCCATGTGCCCCTCTCCTCCACTGGCCGCCACCTGGCCCTCACCCTCCCAGTCCTGGGGAGCCTGCCTGCCACGCATTGCCTCCTCACCGTGTCTCCCCCGTCTGTCTCCTCCAAGCCCTCTCTCTCCTTCTCTGTCTCTCTCCCCATCGCTTCATTGTACTCTCTGCCTTTCAGTGTTTTGGAGACCCTATGACTCCCAACGACTATAATCTCACATTTGCCCCTCACCTCCTCCCTACTCTGCAGCCCCAAGTGCCTTCCTGGGTCTTCTCTTGGTGGCAGCCAAAACAGACAGCACGCAGACCCCAAGGGTATGCCCAGTCTCCCAGCCCACACCTCTCCCCAGGACTCTCAACTGCAGGACCTGAGCCCCCAGAGCCACAGACCCATCCCTGGCTAGCCCCTAAAGCTACAGGCCCAGGCATCCAGACCCCAGCCCCTCCTCCCTCAGACCCAGGAGTCCAGACCCCAGCCCCTCCTCCCTCAGACCCAGCAGTCCAGACCCCCAGCCCCTCCTCCCTCAGACCCAGCAGTCCAGATCCCCAGCCCCTCCTCCCTCAGACCCAGCAGTCTAGACCCCCAGCCCCTCCTCCTTTAGACCCAGCAGTCCAGACCCTCAGCCCCTCCTCCCTCAGACCCAGCAGTCCAGACCCTCAGCCCCTCCTCCCTCAGACCCAGCAGTCCAGACCCTCAGCCCCTCCTCCCTCAGACCCAGCAGTCTAGATCCCTAACCCCTCCTCCCTCAGACTAGGAGTCCAGACCCCCAGCCCCTCCTCCCTCAGACCCAGCAGTCTAGACCCCCAGCCCCTCCTCCTTTAGACCCAGCAGTCCAGACCCTCAGCCCCTCCTCCCTCAGACCCAGCAGTCTAGACCCCTAGCCCCTCCTCCCTCAGACTAGGAGTCCAGACCCCTAGCACCTCCTCCCTCAGACCCAGCAGTCTAGACCCGTAGCCCCTCCTCCCTCAGACTAGAAGTCCAGACCCCTAGCACCTCCTCCCTCAGACCTAAGAGCCCAGGCCCCCAGCCCCTTCTCCCCGAGACCCAGGAGCCCAGGCCCCAGCCCCTCCTCCCTCAGACCCAGTCTAGGTCTGACCGCTTCTTGTCTTGAAACTCAGGAATTCAGGTCAGCAACACCTTCACACTCTTACCACCAGGATCTGGGGTTCTGGCCCTCTCCTTTTCCCTAGGGTCTCAGCTCCTAGTCATGACCGGGTCCCCACTCCTGTGGACTCTGGCCCTGAGCTTCATAGAGACCCTGGGTATTTTGCTCCCATGTCACCTCCACCCACCATCCATCCGGCAGGAAGGCGGCCGCGCCGGCCAGTGGCCAGCGTTCAGCAGCAGCAGAGGATGAACGCCCTTTCCACAGCCGCTCCGGGAGACTCGCCCGCTGCAGCCCACCTTCCCCCCCTCCCTCCTGTTTCCCACTCTGAGCCAGCACACCACAGAGGGGGAGAGCAACCTAGGCCCCACAGCCCCATCACCCCAACTCGATGCCTGGAGAGCCGGAGGCCAGAGGACAGTGGAGAGGGAAGAGGCTCCCCAGGACAGAGGCACTCCACCCGTCTGCAGCTGTACTGCAGCAAGAGCCTCAGCTCCAGCCGACCCCACTCCGCAGGCCGCCTCCTTCCCCTCCCCGGCCCTGGAGCCCCTCCAGCCTCTGTCCCTATGAGAGCTGGAACACTGGGGCCCCAAACTCCATGTCCCAACACTCGGGGTTCCGACTACCCTCATCCCTCAGACCCAAGAGTTCAGGCCCCCAGCCCCTCCTCCTTCAGACCTAGGAGTCCAGACCACCAAACCCGCCTCCCTCAGACCTAGGAGTCCAGGCCCCCAGCCCCTCCTCCCTCAGACCCAGGGGTTCAGACCCCAGTCCCTCCTCCCTCAAACCCAGGAGTCTAGACCCCAGCCCCTCCTCTCTCAGACCCAGGAGTCCAGATCCCAGCCCTTCCTACCTCAAACCCAGGAGTCTAGAACCCCAGACCTTCCTCTCTCAGATCCAGGTGTCCAGAACCCCAGACCCTCCTCCCTCAGACCCAGAAGTCCAGACCCCAGCCCCTCCTCCCTCAGACCCAGGAGTCCAGGCCCCCAGCCCCTCCTCCCTCAGGCCAGGAGTCCAGACCCCGGGTCCTCCTCCCTCAGACCCAGGAATCTAGGACCCCAGCCCCTCCTCCCTGAGACTCAGGAGTTCAGGCACAGCCCCTCCTCCCTCAGACCCAGGAGTCCAGACTCCCCAGCTCCTCCGACCTCAGACCCAGGAGTCCAGGCCCCCGGCTCCTCTCCTCCAGGACCTCAGAGTCTGTGCCCCCACCCCCTCCACCCTGGGTCTCAGGGGTCTGAATTCCAAGTCCCTTCTCTATGAAGGGCCCAGAGGTCTGGGCAGCCAGCCCCTGCCCTTTGAATACCCTGAATCCCTACTCTGCCCCCACCTCCACCCTGCTCCCGCCCCAGGTGTCCCCTTCTTCTAGGCTCACCTGTCTGTCCTTTGCCCAACGTCTTCTCCAGCCGATAGGGGCCCACATATTGGGCATGCTGGGGTGGGTGGGGGTGGGGGTGGGGGAGGTGGTAGGCAGGAGAGCCCCCGCCTCCCTCCTTGGCCCCGGACGACATGGTGCCCTTGGTCCCGGCCCGAGCGGTCCCCCGGCCGCCCCCCCTGCGGCCGGTCGTCCCGTCTCTCCGGTGGGGGCCGGCGACCGCTCCGTCCCGGCCCCCCCGGCTGCCCCCCACCTCTCCGGGGGTCCCCAGGGGGCTGGGCTGGCCCCCCCCAGTCGGCGGGCCGCGGAGCTGGGGGAGGGGGGGCTGGCCCGGGGGGTCAGGCCCCGGGAGTCAGCATGGCCCGGGGGGGCTGCGGGGCCCCCCCTCCCCAGCCCTTTTTTGGCCGGCCCCCCGCTTCCTGCGCCTCCCCCCACCGGGGGGGTCTGAGGTGCGGGCCGGCGGATGCTGCAGGCCGAGGTCCCCCCGCCCCCCCCACGCGCCCTCTCTCCTCCGCCTCCTCCTCCTCTCCGCCTCCCCCCGCCACCTCGTCCTTTCTCTCCGGCACGCTGACATCACCATCCGGGGACTCCGGGCCCTTCCCCAAAGTTAACCCTTTCGGAGGGGGGAGGGGGAGCGCGGGGGGGGGAGGGGGCGGGCCTCCAGTTGGAGGGATGGAGATGAGGTGGGAGGATGCAGGAGAGAGGATGGAGGGAAGGATGGAGAGAGAGAGAGAGAGAGAGGACCCAACAGATGGGGCAGAGATGGAGATACACAAAGAGAGATGCTGGCTGACAGAGACCGGAGATTGGCAGAGACCGCCAGAGACAGGCTGAGGCAGAGAGGCAGGGACAGAAGAGAAGGAGGGAATGGCAGGCCGGGCAGACAGACGGGGAGAGGGAGAGAGAGCTGCTGGAAGCCGACAGAGGGATGGAGAGTCAGAGACTCGGAGAGACAGAGAGAGGAAGGCCAGCCAGAGAGGTGGGGGAGAGGCACGGGGGGGGGGGGCGGGGGCAGGGGAGGCCGCAGGGGGACCGAGGGTACACACAGGTGGAGGGACACGTGCTGGGGAGAGGTGGGGATATATTGAGGGAGACAGACAGAGAAGGGAAAGAATTCTTGGAGATGCTGACCCAAAACTCATCTCTGTTTCGCTAGCCCCCTAAGCTCACCCACCCAGGTCTTTGTGGGCACGGGCTGTGTCCCCGCTGATGTCAAGGCTGCATATCTACCCACAGCCCAGAGTGATTTAGGATTCTCTTTGCTTCTACAGAGAAGCTTCCAGAACCCCCTGAGGCCCCTGTGTATGTTTTTAGACCCCCATGTATTCTCTGTCCTCATCACAGGGTCCTTTACATCTTCATGTGGGTCCTGGTGTGCCCCATACATCCCCACTGCAGCTCATACCCCAGCATATGCTCTTCCTGTGAGTAAGCCAGCTGCCCCCATTAGCTTTCCCCATAAGCCATAGGTCCCTCTATAACGTACCCGAAAGTGTTAGACAACCCTTTAATTCTCAAGTCCCCTGTAAAGAGCACCCAGGGCTGGGCAAGGTGGCTCATGCCTGTAATCCCAACCTTTTGGGAGACCAAGGTGGGAAGATTGCTTAAGATCAGCCTGGATAACACAGTGAGACCCCATCCCTATTTTTAAAAATATTTTTAAAAATTAGCCAGGCATGGTGGCATGTGCCTGTAGTCCCAACCACTGGGGAGGCTGAGGCTTGGGCCAGTGAGTTCAAGGCTGCAGTGAGCTATGTTTGCACCATTGCACTCCAGCCTGAGCAACAGAGCAACAGAGTGAGGTCCTGTCTCCAACAAAAAGAAAACAAAATGCACCCAGGAGCCCTTTGGCTCCTGTGAGATTTCCAAATCCCCTATTCAAAACCTTTAGTCCACAAATCTTTAATGAGTGCCAAATCTCAGCCAGGCACTGTACCTATCAGTAAGAACATGGCAGTGACCTAAATCAGCAAAAAGCCCTGTCCTGTGGAGCTTCCATGCTGGTGGATGAAACAGATGATCAACAAGGTCGATGGGCAAAATGCATGGTGTGTTAGATAATCACGTCCATGCTGAGGAGGTGACTACAGCAGGGAAGGAGATTAAGAGGGGCCTGTTGAGCAGGGTGCAGTTTGTTGGCCAGGAAGCAAAATGAGAGTTTGAGCCATGAAGGGCAAGGGGCATTCTAGGCAGGGAAACAGCAGGTGAAAAGGTCCTGTGGCAGGAGTGTGTCTGGTGTGTTGTGGGAGCATTGAAGGGGCCAGTTCGGCTGGAGAGGAGCGAGCGAGGGAGAGCAAGAAGAAAGGAGCCCAGGAAGCAGATCATATGGACCCACAGAAGCAGAGTGGCCATATGTCCTGGTTTATGCCCGATCCTCTGTAAGTTTCTTTTTTTTTTTTTCTTTTTTTTTTTTTAAGATAGAGTCTTGCTCTGTCTCCCAGGCTGGAGTGCAGTGGCATGATCTCGGCTCACTGCAACCTCTGCCTCCTGGATTCAATTGATTCTCCTGCTTCAGCCTCCTGAATAGCTGGGATTACAGTGTACCACCACACCTGGTGAATTTTTTTTGTGTGTTTGTTTATTTATTTATTTATTGAGATGGAGTCTCGCTTTGTCTCCCAGGCTGGAGTGCAGTGGCACGATCTCAGCTTACCGCAACCTTCACCTCCCAGGTTCAAGCAGTTCTCCCATCTCAGCCTCCAAGTAGCTGGGATTACAGGCATACGCCACCACACCCAGCTAACTTTTTGTATTTTTAGTGCAGATGGGGTTTTACCATGTTGGCCAGGGTGGTCTTGAACTTCTGACCTCATGATCCGCCCACCTCAGCCTCCCAAAGTGCTGGGATTACAGGCGTAGGCCACTGTGCTAGGCCTTTTTTTTTTTTTTCTTTTTTTCTTTTTCTTTTTTTTTTTTTTTTTTGCATATTTAGTAGAGACAGGGTTTCCCCACATTGGCCAGGCTGGTCTCAAACTCCTGACCTCGTGATCCACCCTCCTTGGCCTCCCAATTACGGGTGTGAACCACCGCACCTGGCCGGTTCTGTAACTATTAATGGATCCCTTTGTGCTCTCAAATATCTTGCTATAGATGAAAAATTATATGATCACTCTCTTTTTTTTTTTTTTTGACAGAGTCTTCCCTCTGTTGCCCAGGCTGGAGTGCCACGGGGCAATCAGAGCTTCCCGCAGCCTCGACCTTCTTGGCTCAAGTGATCCTCCTGCAGTGTTCCACGCAGCTGTGACTATAGGAAGATGCCATCACACATGGCTAATTCCTCTATTTTTTTGTGGGGATGGGGTCTCGTTATGTTGCCCAGGGGATCTTGAACTCTTGGTTTCAAGTGATCCTCCCATCTTGGCTTCCCAAAGTGTGAGATTATAGGCCTAAGACACTGCATCTGGGCATGTATTCGGACGTCCACATCCGAATTCCCAGGATCTGTGCACAGGTTATCTTGCATGGCTGAAGGGACTTGGTCCATTTGACTGAGATAGGGAGGTGATCCCGGTTATTTGGGTGAGCTCAATGGAATCACAAGAGTACTTGTGAGAGGGATGCAGGAGCAGTCAGTGACAGAGTCGGAAGATGGAAGTAGAGCTCAGGGTGATGGGGCCACCTGTCAAAGAACGAATGTGGCCTCTAGAAGCTGGAAAAGGCAAGAAAAACACTCTCCCCTGAGCGTCCAGAAGGCATGCAATCCTGCTGATAGCTAGGTTTCAGCCCCATGAAACCCATTGTGGATTTCTGCCCTCCATAACTGCAAGATAATACATGTGTGCTGTTTGAAACCACCACATTTTTAGTAATTTGTTAACAGCAGCAACAGGAAACTAATATAATAGGACATCCACAGGCCCAGACGCATCTAACAACACAGTACTGGAAACACCACACACACACATACACATGCACACAGGCACACACACACATGCACGCGGACACCCACAGCCTATCTGTTTGGTCTTCCCGTTTCTACCCAAAATATCCCTCTGTACAACCACTCCCAGCAGGTGGTTGATAACATTTGTGACTGTGGGCCCATTTTGCGTTGAGCACAACCTTTTCCTGGAAGAAAACGCCTCCTATCCAGGACCAACAAGAGAGTTTCTTTAAGCCCAGCCCAGGGCCGACACCTCTGCAGACCAGGCCTGCACCAGCACGTGCCCAGGCCTAAATCCCGCTCTGGAGTGCAGAGTCCTCTGGCCTCCCCACCAAGCTGGCTCTTCTGGTGCTCTGGATCTTGCCAGGCTCTGGGGCACTTTACTTTCCGGCCCCAGGGCTCACGAATCCTCTCCTCTGTACCTGGCAAGACATCGGAAAGAGTCCATAAAGGAGAGGCTGGATGATGAGAGGGGTCCACGCTGCAGCTCCATTTGACGAATGGGTAAACTGAGACCGAGAGAGGCGTTGGGGGGGGACCTAAGGCTCACAGGCCAGCAGTTACGGTTGCGACCCCAGGGCCCCAGTAGATGGGGTGATGGCCCCAGTGGAGGGGAAAGTCAGATTAGGGGGCAAAGCCCCAAATCCTCTTAAGGATGGGGTACCTGCATGACAGCAATGGAG